TTTTTTTCTTGTGATTAACAAAATAACAAAAAATGAAAGACTTACTTGTAACAGTAACTTTACATTTTTTACTCTTTGCCATTCCACCTGTATTTTGAACAGTTGCTGTATAATCACCTTGTTGATTTGGTTGCATACTAAGAATAGTAGCTGTGAATGTTTGACCATCTTCGGATTCTTTAATTTCAATTTGACCTTCAGTAGCAACGAGTTCATCTGCACCACGGAAAAATCGAACTGTTGGTTTTGGATTACCAGTTGCTTCGATAGTTAATGTCATTGGTTCCCCTTTTGTAGCATTGATAGCTGCTTCAAGATCCCGAATAATTGTTGGTTTAATTTCTAAATTGTAATATGGAGTAGAAAAAAAATCAATAAAACTAAACACTAACCTTTAACATCAAGATTAACTTTTTGTTCAACAGATCCAACAACATTTGTTGCTTTAACGAGATATGCTCCTTTATCAGTCATTGTAGTTGCATTAAAAACTAAAGCTGCTATGCCTTGATTTTCATCATTAGCTATTTCAATTCCTTCGTGTAATGGTTGTCCATCAACACGTGACCATTTCAATTCTGGCATTGGTAAACCAGTAAAAGCACATTGTAATCTTGCTGGTTGTCCAATTGATACTTGAGCATCAGTTGGTTTTCCAACAAGACTTGGTTTCAAGCAAACACTTAATTTTGCACTTATTTCTTCTTTATCCAAACCATTATCAGCCATAGCTTTAATTATTCCACTATCAACTAAATCAACTTTTGAAAATGATAATGTATTTAAATCGCCTTTTGATTCAATTTTAATTTTTCCTCCTGATTTTAATTCTTGATCATTTAAATAGAATGTTACTTTTGGTTTTGGTATTGCTTCTATTTGACATTGAAATGAAATTGGTTGTCCTTGAATAACATTTTCATCTTGAATTTTTTTAATAAATGTTAATTTAGCTAGGACATTTAATTTTGATGATGATTCTTTTTGTCCAGCACGATTTTTAACACGTATTGCATATGTACCATCATCATCAGATTGTATATTATCAATACGAAGTGTGGTTTTGATAACATCTTCTTCAATTGTCTCAATATTAATATGTGGTGGTGATGCATTCAAGGGTTTTTGATTTTTTAACCATTGAATTTCTGGTAATGGTCGTCCAGTAATTGTTGTTGAATATTCAATTTGTTGACGAATTTGAATACTTTTATCTTCTAATAACGGTTGAATTTCGGGAAGTTCTTAAAAAATCGGGAAGATAAAATCGATTAAACAAAATACATAATATAATGCAACAAAATAAAATTTTACCTAATACACTTAATTTAGCTTTACTTGTTATTTCACCAAACTCATTAACTATTCGTACATTATATTCATCTTCATTTTCAATTTGTACATTACGTATTGTTAATTGTTTACGATCATCGGAAAATGAGATTATTTCATTTTGTTCTTCAAGAACTTTATCAACACGACTCCAAATTATATCTGGTATTGGATATCCTTGAACATCAACAGTAAATATTGCATCTTGTCCTCGTAATACTTCAAGATCTTTCAATTGTGCTTTTAATGTTGGAGCTGTTGTAACATTTAAATGGACTGGATGTTCAGTTGTACCAATAGCATTTTCTGCACGACATAGGATGGTACCCATATGTTTAGTTGTATCAACTTGAGGTATACGAAGTGTATAAAGGCCTTTATCATTTTGTGCTTGAATTTCAACACCTTCTTTGACGGTTAA